AAAGAAAGAAACAGAGGGCAGCGGTGCTCTTTGCATCTCGGGACGTGAATGCTGACTTCTCCTTTCCTTCCCCAGTATCGAAGCATCTTAGAGAATCATCTCATAGACTCCATCAAGCTCTCGCCAGAGCAGTCAAGGAGTAGCTGCTGCTGATTTCCCGCTCTGGACGCCCAGAGAGAGCGAGGCTGCCTCGGGCCTAGCCGTCCTGGCTCCAGAGCAGATGACAAACCCCTCCAGCCCTGCCGCCTGCCCAGGCTCAGCCCGGGGGCCACATGTGTGGCCAGAGCCCTTGGCCCTATCCCTGGGCCTCAGGCTGAGTGTAAGGAGGGCAGGGCTGGGCCCTCAGGGGTCTGCACGAAGCCCAGAGTGTCACAGCCAAATCCCGGCCTGCAGAAGTGACAGTTCCCTCCATGGCTCCAGCCTGCCTGCCACCTGCCCTCCCCAAACACACTCCTGCTCCAGAACGCACATCTCCGCAGACAGGCCGCTGTCTCTAGATCTGGTTAGGGTCTCCTGTGGACTGCCCTTCTCGCTCCGTCCCACCTCCGACCCCGCTGGCCACAAGCCCAGCTTTGGACAATGGTGCAGCTCAGCCTCCCTGAGCAATCAGGCCAAGCAGTGAGGCCCTGGACACTCGTGCTGGCCCCGCCTCGACGCCCAGCAGAAGCTCGTCAGGCCTGAGACAGCCCTCTGCTCCCGCCAGGGTGGAGGACTAAAGGAGCACAGAAAAGCCACCAGGGACTCTGGCTCATTCCTCCTTGCTGGGTGCTCAGGCGACTCACACAAATCTCTGAGTCTCAGTCTGTTCGTCTGTCAAATGGGAGTGGTGTGCACCCTGCCTACATTAGAGTGTGGTTTTGAGGACCGGAAGCTGTGTTTACATCTCAGTTGCTGTTGTTGATATGCATTTATTCACTCCTTCCACAAGTATTTTTGAGCATCTACTATGTACGATGTGCTGAGGTCCAGTGACAAACAAAACAGACCAGGACCCTGCCCTGCCAAGCCTAGCTGTGGTGAGGAGAGAGGCAACAGACACAGAATTTAAGCAGATATTTTCAAAAAGCAGGTAAGTTCTATGCACAAAATGAAACACAGTAATGCGATAGAGAGACAGGGGCCGGAATGAGGTGCTATTTTGACAAAGTGATACAGGAGGGCTTCCCTGAGGAGGTGACATTTGGCCTGAGGGCTAGAGAATAAGAAGGCAGCTGCCACCTGAAAGCTGGAGGAAGAACATTCCAGGGAGAGGGAGCTTCAGGGGCCAAGGCCCAGAGATGAGAGGCCATGTTCCAGGACCAGTGAAAGGACATTCCTTGACCTGAGGACTCAAAGCTGCTGTCCCAGAGACAAGGCAAAGGGGACCCAGCCCCCTGGACGGCTCCCTGACGCTCTGCGGTCTGGCCAGCAGGGGGCAGTAGTGCTCCTTCTCTTCCAAGCTAAGCGGCCAGTGGCGGCTCCACCGACGCTGGAAGAGCTGGCGTTTTTGTCCTGTGGATGCTCAAAGCTTGCTCCCCGGCTCAGGGCGTGTTCAGCCCTTCGAAATTTGTGGGGCAGAGAATTCTAATTTCTGCAGCCTAGAAAGAAACGAGCAAAAACTGCAACATATATGATTCGGGCAAGAAATTAGCACCTGCAGCAAATGCTAGAATGATGTGCCTGGAGAGCTCGTGGCTTCTCTGTCCCTGCAGAGTCTAAGGCCACAATCTACTTTTTCTTCTGGCTCCAGACAACACACATAGGGCCCAGCCTGCAGGGGTGGACAAAATGTCCTTTCGAGTTCTTCAACGGCCAAGCCCCTGCCCACCGCAGAGATCTCCTGTGCACGCAGCGGTATCCTTTCCTGAGTTCCAAGCAAAGCTGGGATGTTAGCTTAGGACTGCCAGTGTCACCTGACTCTGAAGACACACCTAGAGGTAGGGGAGTGGGGGGGTCAGCAAGGGGATTTGGGGGCCTCTTCTCCCCCGACCCAGCTCTGGAGCATGAAACGGCTTGTTCTGGGCAGCAGCGTGACGCTGGCATGGGAGCAGGGTGGGCCTGGAGCACACCTCTGTCTGTGGCAGGCCCTCATGGCGGGGGAGGTGCATTTGCCCGTCACATGGGCTGTCCTGGGAGTCGCGGAGATGGGACTGGACGTGTCCTGCATGGGTGCGCAGCAGCTGGGTGTGCACTGCAGTGGACACAGGGGCTTTTCTAAATGTGCGCAACAGATAATAAATGTGCACTTCTTTGTTTTTGTCTTTGTGGCATTTAGTTTCTGTATTTACAAAACACACCTACATAGTTCAAAATGCAAAAGACACTAAAGGGCAGACACCTACGAGTGAACTAAGAGTGGCTACGTGATTTGCAAGGCGCGGTGCCAGATGCAAATGCTGGGTCTCTTGTTCAACAATGATTAAGAATTTCAAGATGGCAACAACAGAGCCTTAAATCAAAGATGGGCCCTCCTGAGGGCAGGCCATGCATGTGTGAAGTCCATCCTGAGCAAACACGAGTTTTTGGTGCCCCCCGGAGAGACAGCACCCCTGGCCAGGCCCAGCCCGGCGTGCCCCGGTGTGCCTGGGCCTCAGACACACTGCAGCATGAAGGGAAAAGACTCTGTGTTTGCAAGAGCCAGAGCCACACTGAAATTCAACCCCAGGCCCAAAGCACACATTTTGCAGGAGTCAGGAGCCAGGACAGAATGTTCCAGGTGGTGTGTGGGGGGCTGGAGAGCTGAGAACCCAGAGCATCCATCCCATCACAACCGACCCATGGCCAGGGCAGAGGGAACTGAGCCACAATCAGGGCCACAAGAGGCCCTCCCTGAGGACCTCGCCCCACCCCACTCCCACCCTGTTCCTGGGTCTGAGACTGGCTCTCGGTACCCTGCCCAGTGGCGTAGGGATTGCTGGAGGGAGGCAGCACCCGGGGGCTGTGACTTCAGGCTGGGCCCTGGACGGGGTGTGGCGGCACTTCCGACGCCCCTTCATTGCCACCGCTTCAGAGAAAAAGGACCCGGATGAACAAGACCGCTCCGGCCCAGGCTGCTCCTGCGCCCGACACAGCCCTGCCTGAGGAGCGGCTCAGACCGCTGCTGCGTAGCAGAGGGACCCCAGGCCAGAGCTCCGGGTGGCACCCGCCCTTGGGGCTCAGGAAAGAAACAAAACCAAATCTTATCACCAAATAAACCTGGGCTGGGCCCGGCAGGACGCCAAGCCGCCGAGGGGATTCTGAGAAATGCTGTTTCTGCTGCTCGCTCCCGCTCAGCAGAGGCCCCCAACCCTTCGCCCGTCTGGTGGCCTGCCCTGTCCGCCAGCCACAGGCAACTCCTCAAGCTGCTCTGGCAGAGTCAGGCACGAGGCGGGCACCCACAGCGCGGCCTGCTTCCTGGGCTTGCACGATCCAGCGGGGTGCGTGGAACGGCCATGCGGGGGCCCGAACACCCGGCTGACTGAGACGTGCACGGCGGGCCCAGCTGTGACCGTGGGCTGCGTGCGACCCTGGGCCTCCTCTCGGATGTGCGCGGGAAGGGGCCCAGTGAGGCCGGAAGTTTCGCTCACGTACAGGGCAATGGCCTGTGCCAGGATTGTGTGTGTGTGTGTGTGTGTGTGTGTGGAGTGTTTGTGTGTGTATGGGGGGGTGTATGTGTGATATCTGTGCTGCGTGTGGTGTGTGGTGGTGTGCGTCGTGTGGGGTGTTTACGTATGTGTAGTGTGTGTGTGGTGTGATGTGTATATGGTATGTGTGTGGTATGTGGGGTATGGTGTGTATAGGGGTGTGTGTGGTTTGTGTATGTGTTATGTGCGTGCGGTGTTGTGTGTGTGGTGTGTGTATATGTGTGTGGTGTATGGTGGCGTGTGTGTGGTGTGGTACATGTATGCAGTGCATGTGTATGGCCTATGTGTTTGTGCTGTGTGTGTTTGTGTGTGGGGTGTGTGTGTGTGGTGTGTGTGTACGTGTGTGGTGTATGGTGGCGTGTGTGTGGTGTGGTACATGTATGCAGTGCATGTGTATGGCCTAAGTGTTTGTGTTGCGTGTGTGTTTGTGTGTGTGGGGTGTGTGCGTGGTGTGCATAGTGTTTGTGATACGTGTGGATGATGTGCTGGGTGCTTGATGCGTGTGGCGTGTTTGTGTGTGGTGGGGGGGTTGAAGGGTGGTGGGTGAGCGTGGGGGTGTGTGCTGTGCATGTTGTGTGGCGTGGTGTGTATGGTGTATGTGTTTGTGTGTGTGATGTGCGTGGGTGTGGTGTGGCCGAGGAGATGGAGGGAGCACGGACGAGACGAGGGGCGGGCGCTGGGCTAGGTGGGGGCCGCCAGGAGCCCCGCCCATCTCAGCGAGTCCCCACAGCCCCCAGGGAGGAGGGACACGCCTCCTGCTTAGATGGCAGGACGGCGGCGGCTTCCTCTCCCTCCCCCTCACATCAAACAAGCCCTGTCAACACCACCCCGTCTTGTCTCTTGGATCCATTCCCTTCTCCCCTCACCCCCTGCTCCACCCTCCCCGCAGCCTCCTGCCCACCCTCTTGCCCCCTTCCTCGTCCCTCCACACGGTGGCCATCCCTGTGGCGTCCACGAGGACAAAATTCTTCTTGTGGCCCGCAGGGCCCCCACTGCCCACCACTGCCCACTGGTCAGGCCTCAGCCCCCTCAGGGCTCCCGAGGAAGGGACTTCTCTCAGTTCTCCAGGCCACTGTGTCTGTCACCTCCCTGCCCTGGCCGGCGGGAAACTGCTGGAAGGAACACCGGCCCCTCTGGCCCTTCACCTTGTTAATTCCTCCCCAGCTGTTGGTCACCAGCTGAAACCTCATTCCCCGCAGGCAGACTTCCCGGACCAGGTGAGAGGCCCTGCCTTGAGCCTCCACCTGCCCCAGTCTCCCTTGTCCCAACGCCAGAACATCAGCTGCACTGGGATGGAGGTGGGACAGGGATTCTCATGGGCTGTATTTACCGTCACCTGCCCTGTGCCCACAGCAACGCCTGGTGAGCGTGTGGTGCTCAGTATCTGTGGAATGAATAGTACCTGCGATACGTCTTTGCAATTGTCCGTCTGTTGCCCTTAGACCGTGGTCTCCCCGAAGGCAGGGCCTGTCTTGAGTCATCATTTGGACCCCAGCACCCAGCATAGACATTGGTGCACAGTAAATGACAAATAAACATTGGTGGAATACA